ATGCGCTTTACACAATTGATGAATGTATGGATTGTGATAAGAGTTGTATGAGCCCCTAATAAAATGATTTAAAAAAAAATTTTTTTTTTGACACTAGCTCATTTAGCATGGCGGCATAGTCTACTTTTTTTTTTAACTTTTTAAACTTTTTTTTAACTTCACCTGGTCAGCCATCTACGCAGAGCGATCATGTCCAAGGGACCCGTTGTAGGCATTGATCTTGGCACCACCTACTCCTGCATGGGTGTTTCCCAACATGGAAAAGTGGAAATAATTGCAAATGATCAGGGCAACCGGACCACCCGGCTATGTTTCCTTCATGGACACGGAACGATTGATTGGCGATGCACCAAAGAACCAAGTTGCCATGAATCCCACAAACATGGTTTTTGATGCCAAACGTCTGATTGGATGAAGATTTGATGATGCAGTTGTCCAGTCTGATATGAAACATTGGCCCTTCCTGGTGGTGAATGGTGCAGGCAGGCCCAAAGTCCAAGTAGAATACAAGGGAGAAACACAAAGCTTTTATCCAGAGGAGGTCTCCTCTATGGTCTGACAAAGATGAAGGAAATTGCAGAAGCCTATCTTGGAAAGACCATCACCAATGCTGTTGTCACTGTACCCGCCTATTTTAATGACTCTCAGCGCCAGGCTACCAAAGATGTGGAGACCATTGCTGGCCTCGATGTACTTAGAATCATCAATGAGCCAACTGCTGCTGCAATTGCCTGTGGCTTGGACAAAAAACGTTGGTGCTGAGAGAAATGTGCTGATCTTTGACTTGGGAGGTGGCACGTTTGATGTGTCCATCCTCACTATTGAAGATGGCATCTTTGACGTAAAATCGACAGCTGGAGACACTCACTTGGGTGGTGAAGATTTTGACAACCGAATGGTCAATCATTGCTGAGTTCAAGTGCAAGCACAAAAAAGACATCAGTGAGAATAAGAGAGCTGTCCGTCACCTGCGCACTGCTTGTGAATGTGCAAAGAGCACTCTCTCTTCCAGCACCCAGGCCAGTATTGAAATTGATTCTCCAAATGAAGGCATCGACTTCTATACCTCTATCACCCGTGCCCGATTTGAAGAACTGAATGCTGACTTGTTCCAAGGCACCCTGGACCCTGTGGAGAAAGCCCTTAGAGATGCCAAGCTTGACAAATCACAGATCCATGACATTGTGCTGGTGGGTGGTTCTACCCGTGTTCCTACTAGTCAGAAACTTCTTCAGGATTTCTTCAATGGAAAGGAACTGAACAAGAGCATCAACCCTGATGAGGCTGTGGCTCATGGTGCAGCTGTTCAGGCAGCCACCTTATCTGGAGACAAATCTGAAAATGTTCAGGACCTGCTACTCTTGGATGTCACTCCACTTTCCCTGGGTATTGAAACAGCTGGTGGAGTCATGACTGTTCTTATCAAGCGCAATACTACCATTCCCACCAAGCAGACACAGACCTTCACAACCTACTCTGATCACCAGCCTGGTGTACTCACTCAGGTTTATGAAGGTGAACGTGCAATGACCAAGGATAACAGCCTGCTTGGGAAATTTGAGCTCACCGGCATACCTCCTGCACCACGTGGTGTTCCTCAGATTGAAGTCACTTTTGGTATTGATGCCAATGGCATTCTCAATGTATCTGCTGTGGATAAGAGTACTGGAAAAGAAAACAAGATTACCATCACCAATGATAAGGGTCATCTGAGTAAAGAACATATTGAACGGGTGGTCCAGGAAGCCGAAAAGTACAAAGCTGAAGGTGAGAAGCAGCGGGATAAGGTGTCCTCTAAGAATTCACTTGAATCTTACGCATTAACATGAAAGCAACTGTTGAGGATGAAAAGCTGCAAGGGAAGATAAATGATGAAGACAAACAGAAGATTCTTGACAAGTGTAATGAACTTATCAACTGGCTGGATAAGAATCAGACTGCAGAGAAAGAGGAATTTGAACATCAGCAGAAAGAGCTGGACAAGCTGTACCACCGTTGAAGAGGTTGATTAACCGAGTAATGAGAATAGAAACTGCATTGTTCCACATTTAAAAATTGAAGGACCCAAATTTGTAGCACATTGACCTAGCAGTAAAGAGTTAAAGCTGCTATATTAAATTTCTGGGCATTCTCAGTACTTGAACAATACAGTATGCATAGGGAAAGACATCAAGTCAGCATTGCACTTAATTAGTACTGTTACTCTAAGTGGAAAATGCAATGCCTTGAAAATAAAGCTGTATTTAAATTGGCAAAAAAAAATTTTGACACTAATTTTGGCTATCGGAACAAGGCAGCGATAGAGCATCTTCCATTTTAAACTCATGAAAAAGTTAGCACTAACAAGAAACCAAGTACTCAACATGACTAGTGTCACTGTCTTGACCCCCGCTGCATGCTGCTCCCAGTGCCACCTTGGCATTACAGGTGTTGGACATGGTGGGCCGGGGGGCCAGGGAAACGAGTTCTGATAGGTGTTTTAAAAGAAAAGGGAAAACAGAAGAAGTAGCTTCAGCATATAGAATAAGAATATACAATTATTCTCTAAAATGGAATGAATTTTAAAGAAAAGATAAATAATGTTAGTGTTCGAGATATCATTTATCAGTTATTGAGGTTCTATTATTTTGTAATGTATGCTTTCTTTTAATTTGAACACCATTTTAAAGATTTCTCTTTTGGGGGGAAATGTAATTAAAAAGAATGTCAAAAGGAGATTGTTTGGAGATAAGCACACTGTTGGCAAAATGTAAACGGTCCATCGTAAGCTATAGGAATATAGGATAAGCTTAGAATATATATATTTTAGTTTGACAATGATAACTTAGAATAAGTGTTAATGAGATACAATAATCATATTTTATCAGAGTTGATTTGTAATATTTCTCTCTCTCCAAGACTTGCCTCCAATTAAGAAAAACTTTTATGTAGAATCAGCAGAAACAAGCTCAATGTCACAAGTGCAAATAGACACTTGGAGGTGGGTAGTTTTGTTTTTATTATCTCTTTAAGTAAACTGCTTATATAATTATGTTATTAATATGAAATTAACTCTTCCTTCAGGAAAACATTGGAAATAACTGCCTTTGGAGATTTTACTTTTCAGATTTACCTAAATAAAAACTTCCTACATTAATGGTTGCACCATTAAATTAATGTAATTGATGCCACAAATTGTTCAGTTGAAAAACATGAAATTGGTAAATGTTGAGTTACATATTTATTTACAACAATTAAAACAACTTGATTTCTATCAGGCACCAAAGACCCAGAACAAAAAATCATATCAATGTGAATGAGGTGGAGTGCAGAGTGGAGACCCAAAGCCAATCTGTAGACAATTGGACATCCCCTTACAAAAAGGTCACAAGGAAGAGATGAGCCAGTCAGGGTGCAGTATAGCACCGATGAAACATACAACTTTCTTCTAGTTCTTTAGTGCTTCCTCCCCCCACTATCATGATCCCAATTCTACCTTACAAGTCCGGTTAGAGCAGAGCATTTACACTGGTACAGACACGAGCTGAAAACACAGGGAATCCAGGACAGATAAACCCCTCAGGTCCAATAATGAGAATAGAGATACCAAGAGGGAAGGGGAAAGTGGGAGGAGAAAGGGGGAACCGATCACAATGATCTACATATAACTCTCCCAGAGGGACAGACAACAGTAAAGTGGATGCAGGGAGACATTGGCAAGTGACAGATTTTATTCTGTCAAGTGAGAATAATTTCCACTTTGTAGAATTGTTGAGGAGTAATTAAGCAAATGTGTGAACTCCAATACAGACTCTGAGACAGTATAATCCCTCAAGGGTTACTGAAATCTGACTTTGAATTATGAAGCTATTTCCAGGCTCCATTCTCTATAATCTGTCACCCATGAAACTTCCATTGCTCCATTCATACTATGCAAGTTTTATTTCCCTCCTTCACCTCTGCAACTATTCTCAGATAAAAGAAAGAAATATGTTTCTAGTTGTTAGTTACTACATTTTACTGTCATTTTCCATGACCCTCTATTTTAATCAGTCACAATGATATTGCCTGAACGAATTTTTAGGGAAAGTTCCTGTCTAGGGGAGTACAATGACTGCAGTCACTGACTCTTTGCTCTTTCTTTTATTTTTTAAAGGAGAGAAAATTTTAATGTAATGTGTGATGACTTGAAGAATGGTGAAAAACGTCCTATCCCTAATCCTACCTGTAAATTTGAGGATGCTTTTAAAAGTTACCCTGAAGTGATGGAAAACATAAAAAGGGCAGGCTTTCAAAGTCCAACACCAATTCAGGTATGTGTTCCTAATTCTAATATTTCACTGAGAGTGCTCTCCCTTATGGCCACTCAGAAGCTGTTATCATTGAGCAAATTCTAATCCTGTGGGTTTCAGTGCAGAACTGCATGCACCACAGGGTTTATTGAACTCTGATGGTCACAGAAGCAACCACTAGCGATTTCTTTGCTGGTGCTTCTGTGTGGATTTGAGCTCCCAACCTTTAGGTTAGCTGTTGAGCACAAACTATTTGTGCCACCCACGGATACGATCCGTAGACGTTTGTTGAAAGAATTCTTGGCTTAGGAGAGGAGAGACACTTGGCAAAAAGAGATGTGCGTTTTGTTTTAATGTCTATTATTCTGTTTCAGTCCCAGGCGTGGCCAATAGTTCTTCAAGGAATAGATCTAATAGGAGTAGCCCAAACTGGGACCGGGAAGACGTTGTCCTATTTAATGCCTGGATTTATTCATCTTGACTCTCAACCAGTGTAAGATTCCTATGATTGGGTTCTCCTTTAGTGGTTGAATGGGTATACTATTGTATGCTGCATGCCATTGACACAGTTCAGACTCATAGTGAACCGATATACAACAGAACAAAAAACCCTCCAGTCTTGTCCCATCCTCACAGTGTTTCATTGGTTTGAACCCACTGTTGCAGCTCCTGGGTTATTCTATTCATTGAGTCTTCTTTTTGCCGATTTTCTACTTTGCCAAACATGATGTCCTTCTCTAGGAACTGGTCCCTCCTGATAATAGTCCAAAGTCCACGAGTCAAAGCCTCACCATTCTCATTTGTAAGGAACTTTCTTGCTATACTTCTATCGAGGCAAACATGTTCCTCTTTCTGCCAGTCCCTGGTACCTGAACATCGATTGTTGGTCCAGGTAAAATGAAATCCTTGACAACTTCCCTTTTTTCTCTGTTTATCATTATCTTGTTTATTTGTCCAATTGTGAGGATTTTTGCTTTCTCGTTGAGGTATAATCTATAACCAAGCCTGTGGTCTTTGGTCTTAATCATGACGTTTCACAAGCAAGATTATGCCACCTACTTATAGAAAACGATTAATGAGATTTGCTCCAATCCTGATGCGCCTTCTTCATAGAGCCCCGCTTTTCAGATTATGTGCTCAACATACAGACTGAAAGTTACGCTGAAAGAATACAATCTTGGCATGTGCCTTCCCTGATTTTAACCACTCAGTCGTATGCTCTTGTTCTACTGGAAGGACTAAAAAGAACCTCATGCCATCCTGTCAGTTCAGACTTATAGTGACCCCAGAGGGCAGAATAGGTATGCCCCAAAATAGGTATGCCCCAAAATGTCTATATGGTGGTAAACCTTTAAGGGAGTAGAAAGCCTTATCTTTTTCCGATGGAGGGTTGGTGGTTATGAACCACTGTCTTTGTGGTTAGCAGCACACCATACAATCCACAACAGCACCAGGCTCACAGAGGTGTCCCACATGAGCACAGTTAAGTGTTCTGGAATGTCCAGTTTTTTATAATGTTTGATTCACAGTTTGTTATGACTCACATAGTCACATACCTTTGCATAGTCAGTAAGACACAGGTAAACATCTTTCTGGTATTTTCCATCTGATGTTAGCAATGATGTCTTCTATGTCCTCTTCTGAATTGTTTGAATTTCTAGCAGACACCATTTCTGAATTATTGTCAGCAGAATTGTGCTTGCATGTGATATTAATGATATTCAATGATTTTTGCATTCTGCCACCTTTCTATGGAATGGAAAAAAGTATGGATCTCTTCCAGCCTTTTGGCCTGGTGTCTCTAGCACTGCACTGGCTTGTTGGTGTATTCTATTGCTATTCCATGAATTTCTGGAGCTTCGCTTTTGCCAGTGCCCTCAGTGTAGCTTAGATGTCTTCCTTCAGTACCATCAGTTCCTGATCATATGCCACCTCTTGAAATGGTTAAATTGTGACTAATTCTTTTTGGTACAGTGACTGTATATTCTTTCCACCTTATTTGTATGCTTCCAGTGTCACTGAGTATTGTAATGGGAAGCTTGAATCTTTCCTTCAGTTCTTTCAGCTTGAGAAATGCTGAGTGTATGTTCTTCCCTCTTTGTTTTCTAAGGCCAAGTCTTTTCATTTCATGAAAATACTTTACCGCCTTGAGCAACCCTTTCTTTTTTTTATGAAATCATTTTATTGGGGGCTCATACAACTCTTAGCACAATCCATACATACATCCATTGTGTCAATGGATTTGTACATTTGTACAAGAGCAGCCCTTTCAAATAGCCTGTTCAGCTCTTTAACGTCATCATTTTTTTCCAGTTGCTTTAGAGTAAGTTCAAGAGTAAGTTTTAGAATCTCTTCTGACCTCTATGATAGTCTTTCGTGTGTGTGAGAGAGAGAACTGGGTCAAGGGTTACAGTGTAAATCTGTTTTCTATCCAGCAATTCATACACGTTTTGTTGCATGTCGTCGATTGCCATTCGTACAATATAAGATTCCACTTCTTCCACACAGCTCTAACATTCTGTCATTTCTTGGAGCCTTGTTCTTCATTAATGCCTTCAGTGCACTTTGACTTCTTCATTCAGTACCATCAGGTCTTGAGCTATATGCTGTCTCTTGAAACGGCTGAACACTGACCAGTTCTTTTTGGTACCAATCTATTCCCTCTGTCTTTTCTTGCATCCTGAGTAATTTGATATTTTACCCACAGTATTCTTCAGGACTTGTACCTGAGGCTTGAATTTTTTCTTCAGTTCTTTCAGCTTGAGAAATATGCAGCATACTCTTCTCTTCGAGTTTCTAACTCCATGTCTCTGCATATGTCATTTTAACACATTGTCTTCTCCAGATGCCCATTGAAATTTTCTGTTCAGCTCTTGACTTCATCTTTGCTTCCATTTGCTTTAGCTCCTATATGTTCAAGAGCAAGTTTCAAATCAATCTCTTGGTTTTTATTTCTCAGAGTCTCTTCTGCCATTTATTTTGATCTTTTTGAAAAATCATTTTATTGGGGGCTCGGACAACTCTTATCACAATCCATACATACATCCGTTGTGTCAAGCACACTTGTACATTTGTTACCATCATCATTCTCAAAACACTTGCTCTCCACTGGAACCCTTCGTATCAGCTCCGCATTTCCCCCCTCCCTCCCCGTTCCCCCCTCCCTCATGAACCCTTGGTAATTTATAAATTATTATTATTATGTCATATCTTTTTTTTTTAAATAATCATTTTATTAGGGGCTCATACAACTCATCACAATCTCTACATACGTCATCTGTGTCCAGCACTTTAGTATATATGTTGACTTCATCATTCTTTTTTTTTTTTCTTTTTTAACATTTTATTAGGGGCTCATACAACTCTTATCACAATCCATACACACATCAATTGTGTAAAGTG